GCTTAACCCTGGCAGCAAAGATGACCACTGAGCAGTTAGTTGGAAGGACTGGCTCTAAAATCCCTCCCTGCTCTATCAGGAAGATATTCAAGTTTGTGCAGTCTTTGGTTCACCACCTGCAAAGTGAAGGTGCCGAGAAGAGCCTGCTGCAGTCATGAAAGGGGAGCCCTGGGAGGAAGGAAGTACATTTAGCTGTGGGTAAGGACGAAGCTTCAGTAGGCTCTGAAGCAGTTGATGGTGCCAGATCAGCAATGGAGACTGTCGACATGGCTCAAAATCGAGCCTGGAAGCAGGAAAACCAGCCGCTGATCTCAAGCAACCTTATTTTATTTATTTTTTTGGTTTTTCAAGATAGGGTTTCCTCTATAGCTTTTGGAGCCTGTCCTGGAACTAGCTCTGTTGACCAGGCTGGCCTTGAACTCACAGAGATCCGCCTGCCTCTGCTGGGATTAAAGGCGTGCGCCACCACCGCCCAGTGAAGCGTAGAAGACTGACCACCATTTGAATTTACTACTGCTCTTCTCTGGGCTTCTGATTACAGAACCCCGAGAACCCTCCCCAGCTTCTCACAGTGCCCAGACTTGCTGAAGCTCAGGCCTTGGAAACATCTGAAACTCACTGTATAGAATCCGGGTCAGGGCAGAGGCCCTCGAGTTATAGAATAAATTTTAAAACACTCAGGTTATCAGTTGGGTTCTAGACCAAAATCGTGTCTGGAGACACTGTAATGATTGTATTACAATTCATTAAAACCTAGAAAATAATTTGGTCAAGATGAAAAAAAAAATAGTTTAGGCAAGATGCAGACCATGCAGAAAGCATACCGTTAAATTTTAAGGCACACGTGCGGTGGTTCACATAAAATATTTTTCAGGAGACAACAATGAAGTTCACTTTGTAGACCAGCTTACCTGTAACATAGTGAAAAAAACAAAACCTCAAACAAAGCACACAGGCTCTGAACTTCAGGACAGTCCTGGGATCCTTTGTTTGTGCTTGAGATATGTTCTCCCTCTGAGGCTCAAGCTGGCCTAGGCTTTTGGTACCAATCCTCCTGCCTCCGCCCTCCCAGTGCTGGGGTGGTAAGCATGCGCCACTACACTTGGCTCACTGCAGTTAGAAGCTGGGGCTGTAGCTTGAGGTAGAGGGTAGAGGACGGGACCCAAGTGACACACACACACACACACACACACTCTGTAATGAGCAGGGAAATAGATCCCTCTGAATGAGTAAAAAAAGGGGGATCTATAGTGTAGAAAAAGTAGGAAAACTATAGTATAAGGATAATATTGAAAATAGAAAAGTAAGAAAACTGTGAAGTAGTAAACTATTAAGAGAACATTTCTAGCCGGGCGGTGGTGGCGCACGCCTTTAATCCCAGCACTTGGGAGGCAGAGGCAGGCAGATCTCTGTGACCAGCCTGGTCTACAAGAGCTAGTTCCAGGACAGGCTCCAAAACCACAGAGAAACCCTGTCTCGAAAAACCAAAAAAAAAAAAAAAAAAAAAAAAAAAAAGAACATTTCTTCCCACTTAGAGGCTGCATCCAGTAACCTTGGTAACAAAAGTGATCTTGCCACATGAGAAGGACCCCACCCTTCTGTGTCCAGTCGAGACAGATAGCCTAGGACATCTGGCTATCAGAAGGATAGGACATAATTTTCTATACTTATCCTTATACTACAGATTTCCTACTTTACCACAGTACATTCCCCCCTTTTTACTCATCCAGAGGGATCTATTTCCATGCTCATTAGAACGCGCGCGTGCGCGAGCACACACACACACACACACACACACACACACTCTAATGCTCTGAAGTGCTTAAAGCACCCACTAAAAGTTCATTATTTTCAGAAAAAAAAATTTTTTTTTTTTTTGAAAAAAGCTTCTCCTCCTAGTCTTTTCTGATTCATTTCCTCCTTTCATCTCAGTTTTTGTAGGGGAGGTGAGAGCCCCTCCCACAAATGAGATCATTCCAACCAGAACCCAAGGCCAGAGCTTGTCTGTTAAATCACAGGCCCTTTTCTTTCTAACCAGCTGATAGTTTCTAGTGGGAGTCTGGGAGAGGGACTAGAAGGGACCAGTGCTGGTTCTGACCTTTACCTCCTGTACCTGGGGCTGCAGTCACAGGCTGGCTCTTTCTGGGCAGCTGTGGGCCCATATTTCCACTCCTAACTGTGGAGGGTCTGTCCTCCCACAGCAGGGCGTGGGCAGATCTAGAGGGATCTAGACAGAAGCTGGGACGCTGGTTGTAAACAGAGCCCCCCACCCCCACCCCAGACTGATGGGATCATGGCTACCGAATAAGAGAAAGCAAAGCCAGACATCTCTCTTACAGTCTCCCCAAATCTCTTTCTCCAGTTCCTCCTCCCCACTTCTAAAGCTTTCTACATTGTATTCGCCACACCTGAATAATAAAAGCCGAGGAACTGAACCGTTAAGAAACCGGAAGGGTCAAGATAGAGTTACATTCAAATTACGGAGACAGGCAAAAGGAACACAAATTCGGAGCCAAATTTCTACTTCATGTTTCATCTACATCAGTGACACAATCTTAAACTTCGGTCATTAGTCTTCCAAAAGCAAGAAAGCAAATGCTGTGTGTATCCTGTCATTTGCCCCAGAGGCCACCGGAAATGGCATCACCTCCCCAGACACTGCCTTATGAACGTTCCAACACCCAGCGTTGAACTTATTTACCCCGAAGACAGTCTGGGCCATTCAGATTTACAGCCAGGAAAGAACTCTCTCTAGGGACAAGATCTGGAATCAACAGAGAGACACCTTTTAAAAAAAAAAAAAATACCACCAGGGGTTTCAATGAGTAAGTACCTCCCAGCTTGCTTTTTTCTTTCTTTTTTCTTTTGCTAATGAGTCTCTTTTTTGTCCAGGCTGCCCTCCTACTCCCCGTGGAAGCTCTGAGAAAGACCTTGAGAGATTACAGGGCTCTGCCTACCATTTTCTTTTAAATATAAATTTAAATTTTCTGACAGTCTTTTCTCAGAACCCTTCTGGTTACAAGTCGCCGGGCAAGTGGGGGGATGGGGGGCTCCAGCCACCAGACTTGGTGGCACCGAGGGACCAGATGTTACATGGTCTAGACTGGTAAACAATTATTTTTTTTTTTAAAGGTGCAAGGAAACAGCCAGTTCAGTGCTGAAGGAAAGAGGATGTGCAGCCTCTAGTTATTGGCTGTGCAATCTTGTCTGTTGCGGTTGCCCACAGAGGCTTGGCATCCCAGCCCTGCTTTTCATAAGCATGTGATGGCAGGGAGCGCAGTCCACATCTTTCAATCTTGATTTTTGAATGTGTAAATGAGTAAAATGGAAGATACCTAGTTCATAAGTCTCTTAAGAGGAGCACACAGATAACCAAGCAAAGCACTTAAATATCCCCGGAGGGGTCTAGATAATGTTACCCAATCAGTTAAATACTCCATTTCACTGCAAATAATAATAGTATTTAGTAATAAAGCTAGCTAACATCCTGAGTGGTGGAAATGGACCCAAACAAACTCCACACCTGTTCTGTTTCTTTGTGGAAAATATAGGTTTTGTATAAAAATAGTTTTTCCAGCAGAGTAACAAGGAGGAAACAACATGCAAATTTTTCTTTCTAGATAAATTTACTTCCTTTTTTTCATTTCAGCAAATATTTATAGCTGGAGTTAAAAGCTTAGGTTCTACCCAAAGAAAGGAAACCGACACCCCAAGCTTCTCTAATCCATCAGAAGTTGCCATCAATACCAGGCCAGTTCTGACTTTTGATAGCTGAGCAACCTTGGGCGATTTTGCGTAACTTCTGCCTGCCTCTGTTGATTTCTCTGTAGGTGGAGGTAACTAAAGACTGGGTTGTGAGTGACGCAAACAGTCCAGTCAGCAAGGTCAGTGTTCCTTGAATGTCTACTGGAAAGAGGCGGAATTGGATGGGCAAGTGAGGGCACACCAAGGGAAGATGCTAAGATCACAGGACTCAGGGAACAGTTGGGATGTGGAGGGAGGAGCTTGTGTCTGAGAAGAGCTGCTTTACTGGGCCTGTTATCTGCCATAGCAGACCAAGCCTTTAGGAGCAGTGTCCTTGGAGGAAGGC